AACTCATCGGGCTTTATAATTTGCAGAACACCGAAAAATAAAAGGTTCCGAACACATTAGTAGGGGTGTGTATTATATCTACGCATATGAAAGAGTGCATAAATTGTTTTGATCAAAACATAACCATTCTGTAACAAACTGAAGAAAGTGATATAAACCTTTTTCTAACTCAAACTAATAAAGTATTTTGATAATTTAAAACTGAAGATATTAACCGTAAATCACACTATAAACAAAGTACTATCCTGCGTATTATTATGACTGCGTACGCATCATCCATTGTTTACTTCCGGAAAAAATATTAATTCGTACCCGGTGAAATTCGGAGCAAATCAGAAAGGTTTCCAGACTGAGCAATTTTTAAAATTTCTACTTCAAATTAAATGAAAAATGTGAATATATATCATTCACCGTTTGGTGTCTGTATGTTAATGAAAAATTAAGTTATTAAAACTCGTAAAAAAAAAAATCACATTTGTGAAATCTAGCATGAAGATTATTTTGACCCCGTCTTTCAGTACTGTCTCAGTACTTTGATTGAGGTTAGGGTTAGGCTTAGTTTTTTGAAAGATAAATAAGTAAAATAACAAATAAAATCTTTCCATGACTAAAATATTTTTTTTTTCAAAGTGCGTTAAGTGTCTCCATGGTAAAATATATTGATGTAGAATCTTAACGCACTTTGAAAAATTTTTTGAAAGTGCGTTGAGTTGGTCCCAAATTTAACGCATTTTAAAAAATTTTTTCAAAGTGCGTTGATATTGTTCCAATTTTAACGCACTTTGAAAATTTTTTTCAAAGTGCGTTGCCACAATGCATCCTCCGTTCGAATTAAAATATAGTTTCCACTTTCATCAACATAGTAAATATTTAGGTATCTTGTCCGATTTCCTGGTAGAGACATTCTTTAAATCCATAAGCACACAAAGAAAATCGAAATTTTTCCAAAAAAAATTTTTTTCCACATAGAATCACTTGATCACAAATTCCATTTCTCCCAATGAATAGTCTTGAAACACTGAAATGATACACAAGTAAATAAAGGTTACGGTTTACTCACATTCTAAAATCCACATTAGCACAAACATATTAAGTATAAAAATCCAAATAAATTTGTCCGAAGTGATTGCAATGACACATGAAAACTGACTGACTGCCTGTCTAAAATCGCTCCTAGATATTTATACCAATTTAATGGAGCAATGCAATTGTAAACAAAAACCCATTGTTCATTTAGAGCAATGTTTTATAAACAATTCGTAGTTATGTAATTTTTGCTATGCGTACTATTGTATCATAAAACTAAAACAAATGTTCTGTATATACATGTACATGTAAGTAAGCACTGATGAACATCCGAATATAAAACTTTTTTTTTTTTTTTTGCGGAAAACAAGTACACACTGTATTCTGTTTTTTATGATTAACACTCTGAGATTCGATCTTTTCTTCTTGATTCCAACCATTCTCTTACCCTCCCCCCTCCTCATCTTTTGCCCGTCAACTGAACAGCTAACACCAATTACTTTACAATAAAATATACCTATCAGGAAGTAAAAAGAATATAGGTACACGTAGATTTTTTGAAATTCTCTCTTAGTTTTATTGAGAAAATACAATTATTGATACATGTAATAATAAAATTTAACATATTTTCCTGTTTTCTGCCCTCATTTAAGATTTTACTCAATATGGAAGAAGCATTAAGTCCGATAGATGTTGCATAAAAGATCGTTGATTCCATAACTCTAATATATCCTTATAAATATCCTAGAACAGTTTTCAACTCAATGCTAATTTCTGAAGAAATGAGCTACTAAACGTTATCCTTGAATTTCACATTTTCTTTATACTATTGTGAAATGTTATTTCATCTTATTTAACATGTTTAATGAAAAAAAAAAGTTTTCAGAGTCTACTTGATTTGTTTGTTGTTAAAAATGTGTTTAAGTCTCACTTTTGGCTCTTCCAATGTCTATAGGTCTTAGAAGTCTTTTGTCAAGACTGCATGAAAATGAACCAGGGCAAACTGATCTTATTTCATTCCTTAACCAAGAGGCCCTTGGGCCACATCGCTCAATGATCACATTCCTTCGACAAGCCAACGGGCCAGGTTGCTCACCTGACTTTATAAGTAGGGAAAAAGCACAAAACAGTTCAGGATTGATAAGTTTACTTCGGAGGGAGGGGAGGGGGGGGGGGGGGGGCTTGATATTTAGCTCACCTCAGATGAAAGCTCAAGTGAGCTTTTCTGATCACCTGTTATCCGTTATCCGTACGTCCGTCTGTCTGTCTGTTAAAATTTTGTTGATAAAATGCTTTGAAACTCAAAAAATAGAAAATACCGATATGAAAGGTGTAAACAAGATGATATAGTCATCATGCATATGCTTGCACGTGCATTGGTGAAATGACCGATAAATTTGATTTAGCTGTCAGTTTAATATTTTTTTTTATAAAATGCTTTGATACACAGAATTTAGAAACATTATAGTTGACAAGATGATATGGTCAACATATTTATGTATGCACGTGCATGCGCGTGCAAAGAGTAAAATGACAAATATATTTTTAAAAAGTCATAACCTTTTTTTTTTTTACTTTTTAGATAAAATTCTTTAAAACTCGGTTTTATAAAATACTTTAATAGTGTAGAAAAAATGACATTGTCATCATGAACATGTTTACACGTGCGCTCGCGTACGATGCTTAAGTGACCAATATACTTGACATAACTGTAACTTTTATATTTTTTAATAAAATGTTTTGATTCTTAGAATTAAGATGCATTTATTGTATGCTTATAGACGAGTTGAGATGACCATCCTGAATATGCATGTGCGTACCCTATCGTGTAATGCTGAAACGATAAATATATTTGATTGCCTTACTTAATGAAGTTTATAAATAGGAAATTTAAAAATTACACCAGTTACATGTAATATTTGTTCAAGATTTTACAAATTAGATGTGAAGAACAATTAAGAAGCATTGAGTCAGATAGATGTATTACGGATGCATATAATTATGTTCACTGACTTATATATAAATATCCTTATATATAAATCCTTATGTCCTTGAACTGTTGACAAGATTTATTTCTGAAGAAGTTTTGAGCTGCTACAAGGTATCTTGAGGTTCACATTTTTATTATGCTTTTGTGAAATTTTATTCGAAATAGGTTTTCTGGATCATTTCACATGTTTCATAAAAAAATAATCAAATAAATAGATTGAGGAATAACTTTGATATCAATAGTTTTTTAGCTCACCTGAGCCGAAGGCTCAAGTGAGTTTTTCTGATCACATTTGATCCGGCGTCCGTCTGTCCGTCTGTCTGTTTAGCTGTCCGTCTGTCTGTAAACTTTTCACATTTTCGACTTCTTCTCAAGAACCGCTGGGCCAATTTCAACCAAACTTGCCACAAAGCATCCTTGGGTAAAGGGGGTTCAAGTTTGTTCAAATGAAGGGCAACGCCCTCATTCAAGGGGAGATAATTGGGAATTAATGAAAATTTGGTGGTATGTTTTAAAAATCTTCTTCTCTAGAACCACTGTGCCAGGAAAGATGAAACTTATTTGGAAACATCCTCATGTAGTGTAGATTCAAATTTGTTCAAATCATGACCCCTGGGGGTAGGGCGGGGCCACAATCGCCGACCAAAGTTTTACATAGAAATATATAGGAAAATTCTTTAAAAATCTTCTTCTAATGAATAACAAAGCCATAATTGATCATATTAATATGGAAGCATCCTCAGGTAGTGTAGATTCAAGTTTGTTCAATTCATGACCCCCGGGGGTAGGGAGGGGCCACAATGGCCGACCAAAGTTTTATATAGAAATATATTAGAAAATTCTTTAAGAATCTTATTCTCAAGAATAACAAAGCCATAATTGATAATATTTATATGGAAACATCCTCAGGTAGTGTAGATTCAAGTTTGTTCAAATCATGACCCCAGGGGTAGGGCGGAGCCACAATGGCCGACCAAAGTTTTACATAGAAATATATAGGAAAATTCTTTAAAAATCTTCTTCTCAAGAATAACAAAGCCATAATTAATCATATTTATATAGAAACATCCTCAGGCAGTGTAGATTCAAGTTTGTTCAAATCATGACCCCCGGGGGTAGGGCGGGGCCACAATGGCCGACCAAAGTTTTACATAGAAATATATAGAAAAGTTCTTTAAAAATCTTCTCAAGAAAAGCATAGCCATAATTGATCATATTTATATGGAAGCATCCTCAGGTAGTGTAGATTCAAGTTTGTTCAAACCATGACCCCCGGGGGTAGGGCGGGGCCACAATGGCCAATCAAAGTTTTACATAGACATACGTGTATATATATCCTTATATATAAATCCTTATGTCCTTGAACTGTTGACAAGATTTATTTCTGAAGAAGTTTTGAGCTACAACAAGGTATTTTGAGGTTCACATTTTTATCATGCTATTGTAAAATTTTATTTAAAATAGGTTTTCTCGATCATTTCACATGTTTCATTAAAAAAAAATCAAATAAATAGATTGATGAATAACTTTGATATCAATAGTTTTTTACTGGTATTACATGTTTAATTTGTTCAGTTGAAAATTTTTCACAGTGATGGGACCGGTACAAAATAAAATTCTTATTTAAAAAAAAAAAATTATGTGTCCCATGGCTTTCGTATTTTAAAAAAAAAAACTGCCCCATACCTTTAACCTTTTAAAAAAAAGTTAGCGTCAGATGGTATCTTGATGTTAGTGGGATTATTGGAACAAAATAGCCAAAAAGGTAACTATGGGTTACTGAAGGACTGAAGTCTTTCAGATTACAGCAATTTCAAACATCGATGAAAGTTTTTTTTTTCATTTTCATAAATCTTTAACATTTTTTTTTTACTTTCTTATTTTTTCCTATTAATTTGAAGATTTTTGTTGGAATATATATCCCTCGATTGACTTGAAAAGTTCTGATTTTTTTCTTGGGTATAAATAAATGTTTTAATATATAATGAAGGTGTCTCTTGAGTTTCATGTAAGTGCTGTAACTCATTTTTTTTTTTTATTAAAAAAGGCGTCTCATAGATACTTATCGCTAAAACGTTTTTGTACAATGGCTTTTTTTGATGAAAAAATCCATTGTCCCATACATGTTTCTACTGGTTCCATCATTGTGATAAAATTTGCCTGGTCCCTAAGTCAGATAGATATAGTTAGGACCGGGTATTGGCCAAAAATTTCGTGGCGTCGGTAGTCCAGTGGTTAAGGTGCCGGACTCCAAACCGAAAAGTTGCGAATTCGAATCCTGGCCACGACAAACCGATGTTGTGTCCTTCGGAAAGGCACTTTACACGAATTTCCTCACTCCATCCAAGTGTAAAAGGGGTACCTGGCTATAGACAGTGAAAGATATTGTCAGAATGTTGGTGTTCTAGTGCTGATAACGGCAGCTTGCTTTGAGAAAGATTCTGGATTATCAAGGTGTGCTGGGGTAATAATGCATTGTAAAGCTTTTTGAATAGCATTTATGCTAGAAAAGCGCTATATAAAAACAATTATTATTATTATTATTATTGTGATATATTGCGATATTTTTAACTGTATTGCAATATGTATTGCAATATTTTCAACTATAAATATGGCATTTTCTCATTATATTAATTTCAATTTATATATAGAATGAACAATACTTTGAAAAGTAACCTAAGGGGAAGAGAATCAAGTTGATTTAATAACAGTTATATACTGAAATACCACATACAATAACTTCTGTCTTAATGTTTTGCTTACTCACAAACCTTCGTAGATACCTTTCTGACTTTTCTTAATAATAATTGTAGAATTCCTGAGTTTCAGCATTTTGTCGGTATATCGATACTACAAAAATGTATAATTGCAATACAATACTTTTTGTCATTGTATTGCAATATACTGAAATATCGATACATGTATTTTTGCTTAGCCCTAACTATAGTGCATAAAAGTTAATAAAGTCAACTGATTGCATGTCTCTAATATATCCTTATATATATATATATATATATATATATATATATATATATATATATATATATATATATATATATATATATATATATATATATATATATATATATATATATATATATATATATATATATATAGGACGAATAAAACACTTACACAAAATTTCTAATTCTTATGATAAATATATATTATTATAACAGTAACTTGATCCGAAGGGTCGTATCACGTCGAGCTAACGAGACGCGAAGCGTCGAGTTTGATCTGATGATCCGCGCCTGTCAACGAGACGTGATACGGCTCTTCGGATCAAGTTACTGTTATAATGATAAATTTATTATATACCCCCTTATAACTAGCTAAATATAACAGAATAAAACTTTAGAGATCAATTGTGTAATATTTATCCATAAAACAAAGCATAATAAAAAGGGACTTTTTAACGCGCAAGAAAAATAACGTCATGTTTTTGCGTACTACGTCATCAGTTTCAGAGAGTGGTGATATGGATTCAGAAAACCACAGTGAGGTGATCCGGAAAATCGGATCAAACTCTGTAAAATTAACAGTAACAAAAACAAGGAAATTGATGGGTATATAATAATAAGAAAAGTTTCGGTGAAATGATAAACATTCATATGCCTATCAACCCGGAGCAGCATCACTACGTCATTTAACGTCACGTACGTCGGAGATGGTTTTGAATGTAAAATGATCGGGAAGCGTTTAATACTTTTCCTTCTTTGTAATTACATATAATATATATATATATCAATATATATATATATATATATATATATATATATATATATATATATATATATATGTATATATATATATATATATATATATATATATATATATATATATATATAACGCGGCTTTAATACCGTAACGATATTTATACCGTACCTAATACCTGATGGTCGTCCGGAGCTTTTGATTTTACTCTGGTTGAATTAATTGTAAAAAAAAAGATGTATACCAATGAAATAACAAACCCTAACACATTGTTTTTTCTCCTTGTTATTATTTTAGCAGCTCATTGAGTTTGGAAAAGTACGGAAGCCCATTTAGGACCTATCAAAAATATTTTTGAATTCGTTATAACGATTTTTAGAATTCGTTATAACGAATTTAATTTGTTATAACAAATTTTTAGAATTCGTTATAACGAATTTAATTTGTTTTAACAGCCTTTTAGAATTCGTTATAACGAATTTAATTTGTTATTACAGCCTTTTAAAATACGTTATAACGAATTAAATTTGTTATTACAGATTCATTTTTTCGTTATAACGAATTTCAGAATTTGTTATTACAGATTTATTGAATTCGTTATAACGAATTTAATCTGTTATTACAGATTTGTTGAATTCTTTATAACCAATTCAACGAATTTGGCAATAACGAATTCAACAAATCTGTAATAACAGATTAAATTCGTTATAACGAATTCAACAAATCTGTAATAACAGATTAAATTCGTTATAACGAATTCAACAAATCTGTAATAACAGATTAAATTCGTAATAACGAATTCAATAATCTGTAATAACAAATTTAATTCGTTATAACGTATTTTAAAAGGCTGTAATAACAAATTAAATTCGTTATAACGAATTCTAAAAGGCTGTTAAAACAAATTAAATTCGTTATAACGAATATTACGAATTTATTAAATCTGTTAAAATAAATTAGATTCGTTATAACGAATTCAATAAATCTGTTATAACAAATTTAATTCGTTATAACGAATTCTAAAAAATCGTTATAACGAATTCAAAAATATTTTTTGATAGGTCCTAAATGGGCTTCCGTAGAAAAGAGTTCTACATTGCCCTACACAAAATTTTAGGTATGTTCGCTGCTCCGCCCTTGACGTCAAAATCCATTTTTTCATTCTTAGCAGATTCCTCTACCGCGCTTCATTTCTTTATGATCTCCGTATTCCTGATCAAAATTCTAACAAAGTTATTTCTAACAGAGTTATTTTCGCTCTTATTATGGGTTCACGAAGAGTTAGAACGTTGGTGTTACATATTTTTAATATCTGATTTCGAGACTGCTCCGGGTACCCCTACTGATGAGGCATTCATATACCATTGAACAGAAAATATTTATTATTTGTAAAATATTTTTTGCTTTTATTAATTCTTAGTGTATGTCAAACGTATATGCAAATTTTCACCGAAAGACGTTCATAAGAAAGCAAAATATACATAATGTCTCAATAATTTTCGAACAGCCTTCGTATATCCTAGAAAAGTTCACAAGGTTAATTTCAAATTTTGATCTATTTTAAGGTACATGTACGTGTATCTTGAAGTTCACATTCCTATTATACTATACACAATATACACAATGTCTCAATAATTTTCGAACAGCCCTCGTATATCCTAAAAAGTTCACAAGGTTAATTTCAAATTTTGATCTATTTTAAGGTACATGTACATGTATCTTGAAGTTCACATTCTTATTATACTATTGTGAAAGTGCAGAAAGGTTAGTAAAGTCAATTGATTAAATGACTCTTATACATCCTTATACATATCCTACAAAAGTTCACAAGGTTAAATTTCCGAGGAAATTTTGAGCAACTACAAGGTATCTTGAAGTTCACATTTTTATTATACGATTGTAAATTGGTTCGTAAGGTCAACTGATTGCATGACTCCTTATACGTATCCTTCAAACGTTCACAAGACTAATTTCTGAAGAAGTTTTGAGCAACTACAAGGTATTTTGAACTTCACGTTTTTATCATGCTATTGTAAAATTTTATTTTTGAATAGATTTTATCATTGTTTAATAAACAAATAACTCAAACAGATTGAGGAAGAACTTTGATATCAATTGTGTAAACTGGTATTACATGTTTTATTTTTTTTTTCTGTTTTCGGGGTCTACTTAATTTTGTTGTTGTTAATATGTATAAGCGTGTTTCAGTTTTAGCTCTATCGTGTCTATGTGTCTTAGAAATCTATTGTCGAGACTGCACGAAGACAAGTCGATCAGGATCGTGTTTCATTCCTTCAAAAACTATCACCTGTTAGTACCTGTAATTATCTTTATATTTTTAGATGCGAGGCTTTCTACTCCTCCCATTGGTTGTGGCGGTCGTCCACTGTGATACACTTTATTTCCGTCCCAGGGAGAATCCCGCCGTTCCCGGGACTCCGTGTCAGGACGGGAAATCCTTCTGTCTGGACGGGAGCACCTGTTGTATCCAGGAGTCAGGGGAATATGGATGCTGTCCTCTCGCTAATGTAAGAGTACATGACAAAATTGCCACTTTTCTTGAGTAATATAATTTGTGAAAATGCAAGGATGTGTCAATCAAAGCTGTCCAGAAATTCGAAGTTTCACTAACTTTGAGATGAAAAAAGATATTTATTATATTTTCGTGCGGAATGCTATTTCAATATATAAGTCGTGATATTATACAGAAAATTTGAGAAACTATTAACTTTAAATCTGTGTCTATGCATCTTTAAACCACATTCTTTATATAACTACATGTACATGAAGCAAAATATATTTTTTTTATTAATATCAATTGTCACATTATACATGTTTACAATATCTTATTAACATCAATACATCATTTATACATATAATATACAAATACAAAAACAATAATAGTGAATTTGGGAGGGGGATAGAAAAAGAAAGAAAGAGAGAGAGAGATAGAGGGGGGTGAGAAATGGTGAAAGAAGAGCATGTTCACAGGAATAAAGTAGTGGTATATGTATGTATAAGCATTGCAAAAAGGTCTTTAGTTTCTTGTTTCAGGGTCTTACATGAGTGAAAGCCAGTCTTTCCATTTATTATTAATACATTAGTTTGATTGCTTTTTGTTGCACTATATTTCATCGTAGATAGCAGTGTTTTAATATCTCCACGTAATGCTTGTAATCTCAAAACCTCATTCCGACATTTAGTTCTATATTTTAATGATTTAATACAAAAAATATTGTATTTAATTCATTATTGTTGGGTTTTGGATTTTCAAATATAAAATTACAACTATCTTTTGGAAACTCTATATTATGAGCTTCACAAAGAATGGTAAAACTATTTAAAAGCTCCTGAACCTTCTGGCATTCCCACATAATATGAAAAATTATTTCCTCACATATCTGACAGAAGCTACATAATTTAGTATCCTTCAAACATATTTTATATAATGTTTTATTGTAACGAAGATATGCTGATTTATTCTGAATTTTAGCCATTGTAATTTAGAACTTTTTGTACATTGAAAAGCAATTTAGTATATCATTTCCAATAGGGGATCTTGAATTTCAAAATGTTTACACCATTTTACTTTTGAAAAAAGGTACTATGTGTTCTGTATTCAAAATATTATACATAGCTTTTGTTCCATTTTTACATAGACAGAATAATTTTAAATAAAAAGGTAAAATAAGTTTTGCTTATATGATGATTTTGAGAGACATAGAGATGATAGAGCGATTCCCTTCTTTTGCAAAATTTACATATTACAACAAATAATAACATTATTATGAATTTACCATGTATTTTTAAAAGTCAATTATCACAAAACAAGTGTCAATAGAACACATGTATGCTCGATGTTTATGTACATGTACACTGCCAATCTGATTAGCTTTTTTCATTTATAGAATGGATTCAATTAACCATTAGACTTACCTTTCTAAAAATGGGCATAAAATTTAAAAACTTAAACTACACCATTCAAAAGAAAGCTCAAAACATTTTATTGAAATATAAAATCCCTTCAGTGTTCATCACTATACATATGTGTCCCGATCTACATTCTTTACACAGTATTTTTGACTCCAGCTTTTAAATGGAAATGATTGTGTTTGTATAAGGTGCAATACTGTAGCCCTTTCTAATGTTTTGGTCTGACATTTTTCAAGAAAGGACGTCTCCCAAACAAAATCAAAGAGGGCTACATCATTGTAGCTATGTTTGTTTGTTTTAATAAAGAAAGTGATTTGATAAATCTCCAGGTTTATTGTGGCACAAGGTCTACAACGATCATGTTCACAGATTTTCGTGTTTTTTTCTGGTGTATACAAAAAACCCAAAACTCAGCAAACAATGAAATAAGTTGTTTTTTTTATCTTTCATTTTTTTCCTTTTATTATCAATAAAAAAATTAATATATTTGATAGAAACTTTTACTGAAGTCGGCAAGTGTAGTTTGTCCTGATGGTCAGTCAGCGTGCATTTCTGGAAGCACTTGCTGTAAACTTTCCACTGGTCAGTATGGATGCTGTCCCTTACCAAAGGTTAGTCTGTAGAAATTTAAAGTGTATAATGAATACGTACAAACAGGAATTTATATTGCACATTCCGATACTGATTGTGCAAATTTGTTTGATTAAGTCAGAGATTAAAATAATAATAAATTGTATTACGTATTCGAAGAAGAATCATACATGTACATCTAAAAAGCATTTTCAGTGACAACATATGTAGAATTTATTTATTTAATATACCTTATCGTCTTTAGTGCCGAGCATATGACAGAATTTGTTGCTCTCCACTGGAAAGTGGTGGCGTCTCCATATGAGTGAAAAAATCTCAAAGTGAAGGACGTTAAACAACATACCTGTACAATAAATCAATATACCATCGTACCTGATGAAATATGAAGATTTGAGACAAAAATTCTCGTCTGTACAATGCTGTTAATTATTTTTTGTCAGGCTGTGTGCTGTAGTGATGGTATAAACTGCTGTCCTGATGGATATACATGCACCTCTTATGGATACTGTACAAGAGGAGGGTCCAGTCAAGTCACAGACTGGGTTAAGAAACAACCTGCTCTGTTGACATCAGGGAATGTGGTTTGTCCTGGTGGTCAAGCCATGTGCCCTTCTGGACAAACTTGCTGTAAACTATCCACTGGTCAGTATGGATGCTGTCCCTTACCAAAGGTTAGTCTGTAGAAATTTAAAGTGTATAATGAATACGTACAAACAGGAATTTCTATTGCACATTCCAATACTGATTTTGCAAATTTGCTGAATTAAATGGACATGGACAGGGTTTCAGCTAAAAATTTTCAAATCTATTTTTGCTTTTATATGTTTGCAAATACTTAATTTTAAATGTTATCAAAAGTTTCAATTTTAGCTGTTAGGATACAAGACAGATTAGAAGCTCCAAACCTTGATTTAAACAAGACCCGTGTCACATATTTTTTTTTTGTTTTCATAGGTTACATAATACCTATACATATTCGTTCAAAGCAGAATTTTCACTTAAAATTAATTCTAAAAACCATTAGACAGTTTCTTGTGATCTACTGAATCTTGTTTTGTTATACATGAAAGTATGATATTTGATTTGTAAACAAAAACAAGACACCAGCCTTGTTAACAATATGAAGAATTTAAAGTCCTGTATCTTCTTTGTAAACGAACAAACCAGATGTTGAAATCTTTGCTGATCATTTGAATTGCCTCAATTAGAAAATGTAAACATTAAAATTGTTTAAAAAAAAAAGAGGTGAAACTGTGTCCATATACCTTTTGGTCTCAAATAGAAAATAAAAGAATAATTAAACTCTATAACATTAGAAGATGACATACTTCCAATGAGCATTTTTCTGTGGCAACATATGTAGCATTTATTTTTCAATACTGTAAAATCACATATTTTCATGGGGTTGAATTTTCGAGGTTTGAGAAAAAAGCTATTGGTTTGTTGGGATTTGATTTCATGGTTGGAGAAATGTTACGAGTAATGCATATGAAATTTTATATTTGGTGGTGATCATGAATTCGTGAGTTTCTCCAGACCTGAAAACAAGGAAAATTAAACCCCAACGAAAATTAGTGATTTCACAGTATACCTGATGTGGCCCGTGTGGCGGAGTTTTTAGAGCGTCTGATCTAGAGTCGCGAAGTAAGGTGTTGATCCTTACGTTGTTGGTTCGAATCCCACTGTTGGAGGTAGAGCTAGGCCGTTACTTTGGATGAGACGTATAAATTGTGAGGTCCCCTGTGACAGTATCTGTTGGCACGAAAAGATCCCTTACTGCTTGATGGTTTGTAGCTCTTCAACAGAAAATGATGGCGTCTCCACATCAGTGAAAAAAGCTCGAGAAGGATATTAAACAACATTCAATCAATCAAACTACCCGATGAAATATGAAGATCTGAGACAAAAATTCTCGTCTATGAAATGCTGTGAATAATTTTTTGTCAGGCTGTGTGCTGTAGTGATGGTAAAAACTGCTGTCCTGATGGATATACATGCACCTCTTATGGATACTGTACAAGAGGAGGGTCCAGTGAAGTCACGGACTGGGTTAAGAAACAACCTGCTCTGTTGACATCAGAGAATGTGGTTTGTCCTGGTGGTCAAGTCATGTGCCCGTCTGGACAAACTTGCTGTAAACTATCCACTGGTCAGTATGGATGCTGTCCCTTCCCAAAGGTTAGTCTGTAGAAATTTAAAGTGTATAATGAATACGTACAAACAGGAATTTCTATTGCACATTCCAATACTGATTTTGCAAATTTGCTGAATTAAATGGACATGGACAGGGTTTCAGCTGAAAATTTTCAAATCTATTTTTCCTTTTATATGTTTGCAAATACTTAATTTTAAATGTTATCAAAAGTTTCAATTTTAGCTGTTAGGATACAAGACAGATTAGAAGCTCCAAACCTTTATTTAAACAAGACCCGTGTCATATATTTTTTTTTGTTTTCATAGGTTACATAATACTTATACATATTCGTTCAAAGCAGAATTTTCAATTTAAATTAATTCTAAATACCATTAGACAGTTTCTTGTGATCTACTGAATCTTGTTTTGTTATAAGTATGATATTTGAATATGTAAACAAAAACAAGACACCAGCCTTGTTAACAATATGAAGAATTTAAAGTTTTGTAACTTCTTTGTAAATGAACAAACCAGATGTTGAAATGTTTGCTGATCATTTCAATTGCCTCAATTAGAAAATGTAAACATTAAGGATGCTGGGGGGGAAGGGGGGGGGGTCAACAAACTAAGCACAAATTAACCACCAGATTTAATTTAATTTTTCAGATATGATATCTTAAGCTGTCAACTATTATTTGGCAAAGGAAAATTGCGAAAATTCTAGTTTTAAAATTTGATCATTTTTTATATCTTCATATGGAGCTCTTCTTCTAAAGGAGGTCAATATGTTCTAAAAATGGCAACAACCGCCCAACCTCTTTAAATTGTTTAAAAAAACCCAGGTGAAACTGTGTCCATGTACCTTTTGGTCTCAAATAGAAAATAAAAGAATAATTAAACTCTATATCATTAGAAGATGACATACTTCCAAAGAGCATTTTTCTGTGGCAACATATGTAGCATTTATTTTTCAATACTGTAAAATCACGTATTTTCATGGGGTTGAATTTTCGAGGTTTGAGAAAAAAGCTATTGGTTTGTTGGGATTTGATTTCATGGTTGGAGAAATGTTACGAGTAATGCATATGAAATTTTATATTTGGTGGTGATCATGAATTCGTGAGTCTCTCCATACCTGAAAACAAGGAAAATTAAACCCCAACGAAAATTAGTGATTTCACAGTATACCTGATGTGGCCCGTGTGGCGGAGTTTTTAGAGCGTCTGATCTAGAGTCGCAAAGTAAGGTGTTGATCCTTACGTTGTTGGTTTGAATCCCACTGTTGGAGGTAGAGCTAGGCCGTTACTTTGGATGAGACCGTATAAATTGTGAGGTCCCCTGTGACAGTATCTGTTGGCACGAAAAGATCCCTTTTTGCTTGATGGTTTGTAGCTCTCCAACAGAAAATGATGGCGTCTCCACATCAGTGAAAAAAGCTCGAGAAGGATGTTAAACAACATTCAATAAATCAAACTACCAGATGAAATATGAAGATTTGAGACAAAAATTCTCGTCTATGAAATGCTGTGAATAATTTTTTGTCAGGCTGTGTGCTGTAGTGATGGTAAAAACTGCTGTCCTGATGGATATACCTGCACCTCTTACGGATACTGTACAAGAGGAGGGTCCAGTCAAGTCACGGACTGGGTTAAGAAACAACCTGCTCTCTTGACATCAGGGAATGTGGTTTGTCCTGGTGGTCAAGCCATGTGCCCTTCTGGAAACACTTGCTGTAAACTATCCACTGGTCAGTATGGATGCTGTCCCTTACCAAAGGTTAGTCTGTAGAAATTTAAAGTGTATAATGAATACGTACAAACAGGAATTTCTATTGCACATTCCAATACTGATTTTGCAAATTGGCTTAATTAAATGGACATGGACAGGGTTTCAGCTGAAAATTTTCAAATCTATTTCTCCTTTTATATGTTTGCAAATACTTCATTTTAAATGATATCAAAAGTTTCAATTTTAGCTGTTAAGATACAAGACAGATTAAAAGCTCCAAACCTTTATTTAAACAAGACCCGTGTCACATATTTTTTTTGTTTTTATAGGTTACATAATACTTATACATATTCGTTCAAAGTAGAATTTTCAATTTAAATTAATTCTAAATACCATTAGACAGTTTCTTGTGATCTACTGAATCTTGTTTTGTTATAAGTATGATATTTGAATATGTAAACAAAAACAAGACACCAGCCTTGTTAACAATATGAAGAATTTAAAGTCCTGTGTCTTCTTTGTAAATGAACAAACCAGATGTTGAAATCTTTGCTGATCATTTCAATTGCCTCAATTAGAAAATGTAAACATTAAGGATGCTGGGGGGGGGGAGGGGGTTCAACAAACTAAGCACAAATTAACCACCAGATTTAATTTAATTTTTTCAGATATGATATCTTAAGCTGTAAACTATTATTTGGCAAAGGAAAATTGCGAAAATTCTAGTTTTAAAATTTGATCATTTTTTATATCTTCATATGGAGCTCTTCTTCTAAAGGAGGTCAATATGTTCTAAAAATGGCAACAACCGCCCAACCTCTTTAAATTGTTTAAAAAAAACAGGTGAAACTGTGCCCATGTACCTTTTGGTCTCAAATAGAAAATAAAAGAATAATTAAACTCTGTAACATTAGAAGATGACATACTTCCAAAGAGCATTTTTCTGTGGCAACATATGTAGCATTTATTTTTCAATACTGTAAAATCACTTATTTTCTTGGGGTTGAATTTTCGAGGTTTGAGAAAAATGCTATTGGTTTGTTGGGATTTGATTTCATGGTTGGAGAAATGTTACGAGTAATGCATATGAAATTTTATATTTCGTGGTGATCATGAATTCGTGAGTCTCTCCATACCTCGAAAACAAGGAAAATTAAACCCCAACGAAAATGAGTGATTTCACTGTATATCCGATGTTGCCCGCGTGGCGGAGTTTTTAGAGCGTCTGATCTAGAGTCGCGAAGTAAGGTATTGATGCTTACGTTCCTTGTTCAAATACCACTATTGGATGTAGAGCTAGACCGACACTTTGGATGAGACCGTATAATTCGCGAGGTCCCGTGTGACAGTATCTGTTGGCACGAAAAGATCCTTTACTGCTCAATGGTTTGTAGCTCTTCAACGGAAAGTGGTGGCGTCTCCACATCAGTGAAAAAAGCTCGAGAAGGATGTTAAACAACATACAAGAAATCAAATTACCTAATGGAATATGAAGATTTGAGTAAAAAAATTCTCGTGTATGAAATGCTGTTAATTATTTTTTTGTCAGGCTGTGTGTTGTAGTGATGGTAAACACTGCTGCCCTAATGGATATACATGCATCCCTGGGGCATGTACTAAAGGGGGGTCCAGTCAAGTCATAAAATGGGTTGAGAAACAACCTGCTCTGTTGACATCAGAGTATGTGGTTTGTCCTGGTGGTCAAGTCGGTTGCTATTCTGGATCCACTTGCTGTAAACTGTTCACTGGTGAATATGGATGCTGTCCCGTACCAAAGGTTAGTCTGTAGAAATTAAGTGCATAATGAATACGTACAAACAGGAATTTATAATGCACATTCCAATACTGATTTTGCAAATTTGCTTAATTAAATGGACATGGATACGGTTTCAGCTGAAAATTTTCAAATCTATTTTTCCTTTTTTTATGTTTGCAAATACTAAATATTAATTATTATTAAAATGTTCAATTTTAGCTGTTAAGATGCAAAAAAGATTAAAAGCTCCACACCTTTATTTAAACAAGAAAATGTAAACATTAAAATCGGTTTTAGAAAACAGGTGAAACTGTCTCCTTATACTTTTAAGTCTTAAAAGGAAAATAAAAGAATAATTAAACTCTTTGACAATAGAAGATGACATACTTCCAATGAGCATTTTTCGGTGGCAACATATGTAGCATTTATTTTTCAATACTGTAAAATCACATATTTTCATGGGGTTGAATTTACGAGGTTTGAGAAAAAGTTATTGGTTTGTTGGGATTTGATTTCGTGGTAGGAGAAGTGTTACGAGTAATGCATATAAAATTTTACATTTCGTGGTGGTCATGAATTCGTGAGTTTCTCTATAGCTCGAAAACAACGAAAATTAAACCTCAACGAAAATGAGTGATTTCACTGTATATCCGATGTTGCCCGCGTGGCAGAATTTTTAGAGAGTCTGATCTCGAGTCGCCAAGTAAGGTGTTGATGCTTTCGTTCCTTGTTCAAATACCACTGTTGGAGGTAGAGCTAGATCGACACTTTGGATGAGACCGTATAAATCACGAGGTCCCGTGTGACAGTATCTGTTGGCACGAAAAGATCCCTTACTGCTCAGTGGTTTGTAGCTCTTCAACAGAAAGTGGTGGCGTCTCCACATGAGTGAAAAAAGCTCGAGAAGGATGTTAAACAACATACAAGAAATCAAATTACCTAATGGAATATGAAGATTTGAGTAAAAAAATTCTCGTGGATGAAATGCTGTTAATTATTTTTTGTCAGGCTGTGTGTTGTAGTGATGGTAAACACTGCTGCCCTAATGGATATACATGCATCCCTGGGGCATGTACTAAAGGGGGGTCCAGTCAAGTCATGAAATGGGTTGAGAAACAACCTGCTCTGTTGACATCAGAGAATGTGGTTTGTCCTGGTGGTAAAAAAATGTGCACTTCTGGATCCACTTGCTGTAAACTGTTCACTGGTGAATATGGATGCTGTCCCTTACCAAAGGTTAGTCTGTAGAAATTGTAAGTGTATAATTAATGAATACGTACAAACAGGAATTTCTATTGCACATTCCAATACTGATTTTGCAAATTTGCTTAATTAAATGGACATGGATACGGTTTCAGCTGAAAATTTTCAAATCTATTTTTCCTTTTTTATGTTTGCAAATACTAAATTTTAATTATTATTAAAAGTTTTAATTTTTAGGTCACCTGAGTAAACTCAGGTGACCTATTGCTATCCGTTTTCGTCCGTCGTCGTCCGTCGTTCGTCGTTCGTCGTCCGTCGTTCGTCGTCCGTCGTGTGTTAACATTTGAACATTTTCAGCTTCTTCTCTGCAACCACTGAACCAATTTCAACCAAATTTGGCACAAAGCATCTATGGGTGTAGGGAAACAAAAAATATGAATTTCATGATCCCTGCCCCCCTGGGGCCTGAGGGGTGGGGCCAAAACCACTAAAATTAATGCAATCTTTAAAAATCTTCTTCTTTACTCCTGGACATCAAGCAGTCAAACTGTTTGCATGATTGTAATCAGCATTGAGTCCTCTACCAAAATTGTGAAATTCATGGCCCTGGGGTCAGGGGTTCTAGTGCTAGGGCGGGGCTAAATAAGTATATAGTGAAAATGCATTATTTCTTTGAAAATCTTCTTCTCTACTCCTGGGTATTAAATAAATGAACTAAGTACATAGTTATGATGAGCAAGAGTGCCTCTACCAAAATTGTGAATTTTATGGCCCCAGGGTCAGGGGTTCTGCTGTTAGGGCGGGGCTCTATTGATTATATATAGTGAAAATACATGATTTCTTTGAAAATCTTCTTCTCTGCCCCTGGATATCAAATATACTAAATAAGTGCATAGTTATGATGAGCAAGAGTGCCTCTACCAACATTGTGAATTTTATGGCCCCAGGGTCAAGGGTTCTGGTGTTGGGGGGGGGGGGCTCTATTGATTAATAGTTAAAATAAATGAATTATTTGAAAATCTTCTACTCTGCTCCTAGGTATTGAATAAACTAACTAAGTGCATAGTTATTATGAGCAAGAGTGCCTCAACCAAAATTGTGAATTTTATGGCCCCAGGGTCAAGGGTTCTGGTGTTGGGGAGGGGGGGGGGCTCTATTGATTATATAGTGAAAATACATGAATTCTTTGAAAATCTTCTTCTCTGCTCCTAGGTATTAAGTAAACTAACTAAGTGCATAGTTATGATGAGCAAAAGTGCCTCAACCAAAATTGTGAATTTTATGGCCCCAGGGTTCTGGTGTTAGGGCTGGGCTCTATAGATTATATAGAAAAAATACATGAATCTTTGAAAATCTTCTTCTCTGCTCGTAGGTATTAAATAAACTAACTAAGTGCATAGTTATGATGAGCAAGAGTGCCTTCACCAAAATTGTGAATTTTATGGCCCCAGGGTCAAGGGTTCTGGTGTTAGGGCGGGGCTCTATAGATTATAATAGATTATATAGTAAAAATACATGAATTCTTTGAAAATCTTCTCCTCTGCTCCTAGGTATTAAATAAACTAAGTACATAGTTATGATGAGCAAGAATGCCTCTTTTAGAATTATGAATTTTATGGCCCCAGGGTCAGGGGTTCTGGTGTTAGGGGGGCGGGGCTCGATTGATTATATAGTGAAAATACATTAAATCTTGAAAATTTTATTCTCTGTCTCTGGTTATAAAGCAGATGAACTACCTTTATAGTTATGATGAGCAAGGGCCGTAATCTTGCATACTTGTGAATTTCAAGGCCCCAGGGTCTGGGTGGGGGCGGGGATCTACTTATATACTGAAAATGAATTTATTGTTTGAAATCTGCTCTTTTGTATTTATAAAACATTTATTTATTTTTTGATATTAAGGGTGCATTTTTAAAATTTGTGCAATGTGTGGACCTAGGGTCAGGGGTTTTTGTCACAGTGTTAGGGGCACTACTGATTAGTTCGAATGCATTTTTATTCCCCTACCCTGTGTATGGGTATTTAGTAACCAAGCTAAGCAACTGCTAAGTGTATTGTTATGATGATCAATGGTGCCTCTTTCAAAATTGTGATTGTCATATAGCATCTGGCTTAAAACATGAATCAAATTCAATAAGTGGAAAGTTGTTGCATAATGCTCAGGTGACCTATAAGGCCCGTGGGCCTCTTGTTAACTGTTAAGATGGAAGACAGATTAAAAGCTCCAAACCTTTACCCGAAGTTCACTCTATATATGATGTTGCCCGCGTGGCGGAGTTTTTAGAGCGTCTGATCTAGAGTCGCCAAGTAAGGTGTTGATGCTTACGTTCCTTGTTCAAATACCACTGTTGGAGGTAGAGCTAGGCCGTTACTTTGGATGAGACCGTATAAATCGCGAGGTCCCGTGTGACAGTACCTGTAGGCACGAAAAGATCCCTTACTGCTCAATGGTTTGTAGCTCTTCAACGGAAAGTGGTGGCGTCTTCACATGAGTGAAAAAAGCTCGAGAAAGATGATAAACAACATACAAGAAATCAAATTATCTAATGGGATATGAAGATTTGAGTAAAAATATTCTCGTGGATGAAATGCTGTTACTTATTTTTTGTCAGGCTGTGTGTTGTAGTGATGGTAAACACTGCTGCCCTAATGGATATACATGCATCCCTGGGGCATGTACTAAAGGGGGGTCCAGTCAAGTCATGAAATGGGTTGAGAAACAACCTGCTCTGTTGACATCAGAGTATGTGGTTTGTCCTGGTGGTCAAGTCGGTTGCTATTCTGGATCCACTTGCTGTAAACTGTTCACTGGTGAATATGGATGCTGTCCCGTACCAAAGGTTAGTCTGTAGAAATTAAGTGCATAATGAATACGTACAAACAGGAATTTATAATGCACATTCCAATACTGATTTTGCAAATTTGCTTAATTAAATGGACATGGATACGGTTTCAGCTGAAAATTTTCAAATCTATTTTTCCTTTTTTTATGTTTGCAAATACTAAATATTAATTATTATTAAAATGTTCAATTTTAGCTGTTAAGATGCAAAAAAGATTAAAAGCTCCACACCTTTATTTAAACAAGAAAATGTAAACATTAAAATCGGTTTTAGAAAACAGGTGAAACTGTCTCCTTATACTTTTAAGTCTTAAAAAGAAAATAAAAGAATAATTAAACTCTTTGACAATAGAAGATGACATACTTCCAATGAGCATTTTTCGGTGGCAACATATGTAGCATTTATTTTTCAATACTGTAAAATCACATATTTTCATGGGGTTGAATTTACGAGGTTTGAGAAAAAGTTATTGGTTTGTTGGGATTTGATTTCGTGGTAGGAGAAGTGTTACGAGTAATGCATATAAAATTTTACATTTCGTGGTGGTCATGAATTCGTGAGTTTCTCTATAGCTCGAAAACAACGAAAATTAAACCTCAATGAAAATGAGAGATTTCACTGTATATCCGATGTTGCCCGCGTGGCAGAATTTTTAGAGAGTCTGATCTCGAGTCGCCAAGTAAGGTGTTGATGCTTTCGTTCCTTGTTCAAATACCACTGTTGGAGGTAGAGCTAGATCGACACTTTGGATGAGACCGTATAAATCACGAGGTCCCGTGTGACAGTATCTGTTGGCACGAAAAGATCCCTTACTGCTCAATGGTTTGTAGCTCTTCAACGGAAAGTGGTGGCGTCTCCACATGAGTGAAAAAAGCTCGAGAAGGATGTTAAACAACATACAAGAAATCAAATTACCTAATGGAATATGAAGATTTGAGTAAAAAAATTCTCGTGTATGAAATGCTGTTAATTATTTTTTTTGTCAGGCTGTGTGTTGTAGTGATGGTAAACACTGCTGCCCTAATGGATATACATGCATCCCTGGGGCATGTACTAAAGGAGGGTCCAGTCAAGTCATGAAATGGGTTGAGAAACAACCTGCTCTGTTGACATCAGAGAATGTGGTTTGTCCTGGTGGTAAAAAAATGTGCACTTCTGGATCCACTTGCTGTAAACTGTTCACTGGTGAATATGGATGCTGTCCCTTACCAAAGGTTAGTCTGTAGAAATTGTAAGTGTATAATTAATGAATACGTACAAACAGGAATTTATATTGCACATTCCAATACTGATTTTGCAAATTTGCTTAATTAAATGGACATGGATACGGTTTCAGCTGAAAATTTTCAAATCTATTTTTCCTTTTTTATGTTTGCAAATACTAAATTTTAATTATTATTAAAAGTTTTAATTTTTAGGTCACCTGAGTAAACTCAGGTGACCTATTGCTATCCGTTTTCGTCCGTCGTCGTCCGTCGTTCGTCGTTCGTCGTTCGTCGTCCGTCGTTCGTCGTCCGTCGTGTGTTAACATTTGAACATTTTCAGCTTCTTCTCTGCAACCACTGAACCAATTTCAACCAAATTTGGCACAAAGCATCTATGGGTGAAGGGGAACAAAAATTATGAATTTCATGATCCCTGCCCCCCTGGGGCCTGAGGGGTGGGGCCAAAACCACTAAAATTAATGCAATCTTTAAAAATCTTCTTCTTTACTCCTGGACATCAAGCAGTCAAACTGTTTGCATGATTGTAATCAGCATTGAGTCCTCTACCAAAATTGTGAAATTCATGGCCCTGGGGTCAGGGGTTCTAGTGCTAGGGCGGGGCTAAATAAGTATATAGTGAAAATGCATTATTTCTTTGAAAATCTTCTTCTCTACTCCTGGGTATTAAATAAATGAACTAAGTACATAGTTATGATGAGCAAGAGTGCCTCTACCAAAATTGTGAATTTTATGGCCCCAGGGTCAGGGGTTCTGCTGTTAGGGCGGGGCTCTATTGATTATATATAGTGAAAATACATGATTTCTTTGAAAATCTTCTTCTCTGCCCCTGGATATCAAATATACTAAATAAGTGCATAGTTATGATGAGCAAGAGTGCCTCTACCAAAATTGTGAATTTTATGGCCCCAGGGTCAAGGGTTCTGGTGTTGGGGGGGGGTTCTATTAATTATATAGTGAAAATACATGAATTCTTTGAAAATCTTCTACTCTGCTCCTAGGTATTGAATAAACTAACTAAGTGCATAGTTATTATGAGCAAGAGTGCCTCAACCAAAATTGTGAATTTTATGGCCCCAGGGTCATGGGTTCTGGTGTTGGGGAGGGGGGGGGCTCTATTGATTATATAGTGAAAATACATGAATTCTTTGAAAATCTTCTTCTCTGCTCCTAGGTATTAAGAAAACTAACTAAGTGCATAGTTATGATGAGCAAAAGTGCCTCAACCAAAATTGTGAATTTTATGGCCCCAGGGTCAAGGGTTCTGGTGTTAGGGCGGGGCTCTATAGATTATAATAGATTATATAGTAAAAATACATGAATTCTTTGAAAATCTTCTCCTCTGCTCCTAGGTATTAAATAAACTAAGTACATAGTTATGATGAGCAAGAATGCTTCTACTAAAATTGTGAATTTTATGGCCCCAGCGTCAGGGGTTCTGGGGGTAGGGGGGCGGGGCTCGATTGATTATATAGTGAAAATACATTAAATCTTGAAAATTTTATTCTCTGTCTCTGGTTATAAAGCAGATGAACTACCTTTATAGTTATGATGAGCAAGGGCCGTAATCTTGCATACTTGTGAATTTCAAGGCCCCAGGGTCTGGGTGGGGGCGGGGATCTACTTATATACTGAAAATGAATTTATTGTTTGAAATCTGCTCTTTTGTATTTATAAAACATTTATTTATTTTTTGATATTAAGGGTGCATTTTTAAAATTTGTGCAATGTGTGGACCTAGGGTCAGGGGTTTTTGTCACAGTGTTAGGGGCACTACTGATTAGTTCGAATGCATTTTTATTCCCCTACCCTGTGTATGGGTATTTAGTAACCAAGCTAAGCAACTGCTAAGTGTATTGTTATGATGATCAATGGTGCCTCTTTCAAAATTGTGATTGTCATATAGCATCTGGCTTAAAACATGAATCAAATTCAATAAGTGGAAAGTTGTTGCATAATGCTCAGGTGACCTATAAGGCCCGTGGGCCTCTTGTTAACTGTTAAGATGGAAGACAGATTAAAAGCTCCAAACCTTTACCCGAAGTTCACTCTATATATGATGTTGCCCGCGTGGCGGAGTTTTTAGAGCGTCTGATCTAGAGTCGCCAAGTAAGGTGTTGATGCTTACGTTCCTTGTTCAAATCCCACTGTTGGAGGTAGAGCTAGGCCGTTACTTTGGATGAGACCGTATAAATCGCGAGGTCCCGTGTGACAGTACCTGTAGGCACGAAAAGATCCCTTACTGCTCAATGGTTTGTAGCTCTTCAACGGAAAGTGGTGGCGTCTTCACATGAGTGAAAAAAGCTCGAGAAAGATGATAAACAACATACAAGAAATCAAATTATCTAATGGGATATGAAGATTTGAGTAAAAATATTCGCGTGGATGAAATGCTGTTACTTATTTTTTGTCAGGCTGTGTGTTGTAGTGATGGTAAACACTGCTGCCCTAATGGATATACATGCATCCCTGGGGCATGTACTAAAGGAGGGTCCAGTCAAGTCATGAAATGGGTTGAGAAACAACCTGCTCTGTTGACATCAGAGTATGTGGTTTGTCCTGGTGGTCAAGTCGGTTGCTATTCTGGATCCACTTGCTGTAAACTGTTCACTGGTGAATATGGATGCTGTCCCGTACCAAAGGTTAGTCTGTAGAAATTAAGTGTATAATGAATACGTACAAACAGGAATTTATAATGCACATTCCAATACTGATTTTGCAAATTTGCTTAATTAAATGGACATGGATACGGTTTCAGCTGAAAATGTTCAAATCTATTTTTCCTTTTTTATGTTTGCAAATACTAAATTTTAATTATTATTAAAAGTTTCAATTTTAGCTGTTAAGATGCAAAAAAGATTAAAAGCTCCAAACCTTTATTTAAACAAGAAAATGTAAACATTAAAATCGGTTTTAGAAAACAGGTGAAACTGTCTCCTTATACTTTTAAGTCTTAAAAGGAAAATAAAAGAATAATTAAACTCTTTGACAATAGAAGATGACATACTTCCAATGAGCATTTTTCGGTGGCAACGTATGTAGCATCTATTTTTCAATACTGTAAAATCACATATTTTCATGGGGTTGAATTTACGAGGTTTTAGAAAAAGTTATTGGTTTGTTGGGATTTGATTTCGTGGTAGGAGAAGTGTTACGAGTAATGCATATAAAATTTTACATTTCGTGGTGGTCATGAATTCGTGAGTTTCTCTATAGCTCGAAAACAACGAAAATTAAACCTCAACGAAAATGAGTGATTTCACTGTATATCCGATGTTGCCCATGTGGCGGAGTTTTTAGAGCGTCTGACCTAGAGTCGCGAAGTAAGGTGTTAATCCTTACGTTGTTGGTTCGAATCCCACTGTTGGAGGTAGAGCTAGGCCGTTACTTTGGATGAGACCGTATAAATTGTGAGGTCCCCTGTGACAGTATCTTTTGGCACGAAAAGATCCCTTTTTGCTTGATGGTTTGTAGCTCTCCAACAGAAAATGATGGCGTCTCCACATCAGTGAAAAAACCTCGAGAAGGATGTTAAACAACGTTCAATCAATCAAACTACCCGATGTAATATGAAGATTTGAGACAAAAATTCTCGTCTATGAAATGCTGTGAATAATTTTTTTGTCAGGCTGTGTGCTGTAGTGATGGTAAACACTGCTGTCCTGATGGATATACCTGCACCTCTTATGGATACTGTACAAGAGGAGGGTCCAGTGAAGTCACGGACTGGGTTAAGAAACAACCTGCTCTGTTGACATCAGGGAATGTGGTTTGTCCTGGTGGTCAAGTCATGTGCCCTTCTGGACAAACTTGCTGTAAACTATCCACTGGTCAGTATGGATGCTGTCCCTTCCCAAAGGTTAGTCTGTAGAAATTTAAAGTGTATAATGAATACGTACAAACAGGAATTTCTATTGCACATTCCAATACTGATTTTGCAAATTGGCTGAATTAAATGGACATGGACAGGGTTTCAGCTGAAAATTTTCAAATCTATTTTTCCTTTTGTATGTTTGCAAATACTTAATTTTAAATGTTATCAAAAGTTTCAATTTTAGCTGTTTGGATACAAGACAGATTAAAAGCTCCAAACCTTTATTTAAACAAGACCCGTGTCATATATTTTTTTTTTCTTTTCATAGGTTACATAATACTTATACATATTCGTTCAAAGCAGAATTTTCAATTTAAATTAATTCTAAATACCATTAGACAGTTTCTTGTGATCTACTGCATCTTGTTTTGTTATAAGTATGACATTTGAATATGTAAACAAAAACAAGACACCAGCCTTGTTAACAATATGAAGAATTTAAAGTTTTGTAACTTCTTTGTAAATGAACAAACCAGATGTTGAAATCTTTGCTGATCATTTCAATTGCCTCAATTAGAAAATGTAAACATTAAGGATGCTGGGGGGTCAACAAACTAAGCACAAATTAACCACCAGATTTAATTTATTTTTTCAGATATGATATCTTAAGCTGTCAACTATTATTTGGCAAAGGAAAATTGCGAAAATTCTAGTTTTAAAATTTGATCATTTTTTATATCTTCATATGTAGCTCTTCTTCTAATGGAGGTCAATATGTTCTAAAAATGGCAACAACCGCCCAGCCTCTTTAAATTGTTTTAAAAAAAACAGGTGAAACTGTGTCCATGTACCTTTTGGTCTCGAATAGAAAATAAAAGAATAATTAAACTCTATAACATTAGAAGATGACATACTTCCAAAGAGCATTTTTCTGTGGCAACATATGTAGCATTTATTTTTCAATACTGTAAAATCACATATTTTCATGGGGTTGAATTGTCGAGGTTTGAGAAAAAAGCTATTGGTTTGTTGGGATTTGATTTCATGGTTGGAGAAATGTTACGAGTAATGCATATGAAATTTTATATTTGGTGGTGATCATGAATTCGTGTCTCTCCATACTTGAAAACAAGGAAAATTAAACCCCAACGAAAATTAGTGATTTCACAGTATACCTGATGTTGCCCGTGTGGCGGAGTTTTTAGAGCGTCTGATCTAGAGTCGCGAAGTAAGGTGTTGATCCTTACGTTGTTGGTTCGAATCCCACTGTTGGAGGTAGAGCTAGGCCGTTACTTTGGATGAGACCGTATAAATTGTGAGGTCCCGTGTGACAGTATCTTTTGGCACGAAAAGATCCCTTTCTGATTGATGGTTTGTAGCTCTTCAACAGCAAATGATGGCGTCTCCACATCAGTGAGAAAAGCTCGAGAAGGATGTTAAACAACATTCAATAAATCAAACTACCCGATGAAATATGAAGATTTGAGACAAAAATTCTCGTCTATGAAATGCTGTGAATAATTTTTTGTCAGGCTGTGTGCTGTAGTGATGGTAAAAACTGCTGTCCTGATGGATATACCTGCACCTCTTATGGATACTGTACAAGAGGAGGGTCCAGTCAAGTCACGGACTGGGTTAAGAAACAACCTGCTCTTTTGATATCAGAGAGTGTGGTTTGTCCTGATGGTCAACATGAATGTAAAACTGGACAGACTTGCTGTAAACTTTCCAGTGGAGGATATGGGTGTTGTCCTGTACCAAATGTAAGTTATGATTTTCAACAAATGTTTACAATGAATACAGTGTATACATTTATTATGATATCACTATACTCTGTGGATATATTTTTTTTTTCTATTTACAGTAAGAAATTGAAACCAAGAAATTTTTTAAGAGAAAAAACCTGCACTAAAAAGACGTCCGAGAGAAATAATTCCAAAAAATATAGTTGTGACTATACGTTAATGTGTACGTTTGTGGACTGACTTTGGGTGCCAATGTTTAGAATAATATTGAAAGCTACTAATTACTAAAGTGTACGCTCAAATCTAGATAAAAAGTTTGTGAAATAGAAGTTAAAAATTTAAGTTGATATCAAGTAGATGCAAGTCCATTGTCTCATTTCAAATATGAATTGATTGTATAAAATGAATTCTTGCTAAAGCACACATGTTGTACTTAATATTATTATCTTCGAGAAATTTACAGTATTAATGTTTTTAGGGCCTAGGTTACAATTTTTGTTGTTCACCCTTTTTTTGATTGACCAGAAAAAACGGAATGATACATTGACAGGTTTTATTTTGAAAAATATTTAGTTAACTTCCGAATATAAATCTAATAAAAATATTAAATATATAGTCTTTCTATAAATAATGTAATTAATCAAATTTATATAACTGAATAATTAATATACAGTCTGTACTTAATCTAATGTTAGCATTGTAGTGTTGCATCTTGTTTGCTTATTTATGTACATATAAGGTACGAATAAAAGAATTACTTAGAGAAGTTTTGCTGTGAACGAATGCTAATTTATTGAACTTATATATATATATATATATATATATATATATATATATATATATATATATATATATATATATATATATATATATTATTATTATTATTATAATAGTAACATGATCCGAAAGTCGTATCATCGAGTTGACAGGCGCGGATCATATCTAACGAGAGACGCGAAGCGTCGAGTTTGATCTGATGATCCGCGCTGTCAACGAGACGTGATGCGGCTCTTCGGATCAAGTTACTGTTATAATGATAAATTTATTATATACCCCCTTATAACTGGCCAAATATATTTAAAAAAAACTTTAGGGATCAATGGTATAATATTAATCCATTGCACAAAGCATAATAACAAGGGACCTGTTAACTCGCTAGAAAAATAACGTCACATTTCTGCGTACTACGTCATCAGTTTCAGAGAGTGGTGATATGGATTCAGAAAACCAAAGTATGGTGATCCGGAAAGTCGGATCACGACGTCACGTGATTGCATAAAATCAACAGTAAAATTGAGTGATACACATTAGGTATATAATAAACTACAGTATCTTTTTATGCGCCCGGATCAGTAGATCCGGGGCGTTTATTGTTTTTGTCCTGTCTGTCTGTCTGTTTGTTTGTCTGCAAACTTTAACCTTCACCGTAACTTTTGAATCATTAAGGATAGAAACTTCATAGTTGGTATGCGTACTTTACTAATTAAGTTCTATCCAATGATACCAATGTCAATGACCTTGTGACCATGACTATGACCTACATGCTAAAAATAGCTTTTTTGTCTTCCAATTTTAACCTTCACCATAACTTTTAAAACATGAAAGTTACAGACTTTATATTTGGTATGCTTACTCCAATAATGAATCTCTTTCAAATGACACCAAGGTCAATGACCTTGTGACTTTGACTGTGACCTATATGATAAAAATAGCTTTTTTGAACCTTCACCATAACTTTTGAATCACGAGAGATAGAGACTTCATTTTTGTTATGCATACTCCACGAATTAAGTTCTTTGAAATTAAAATGGCAATGACCTTGTGACCTTGACAGTGACTTATATGCTAATAATATCTTTTTTAAACTTTGTTGCTGCCGGGCGCATAGTGTTTCACAAACACATCTTGTTTCATCTGGCAATTAACCCAAAACTCAATGAAACCCCCATATATAAGGGGCAATTCATATAACAATTCAACTTTTGGAAATGCATAATAATATATTCGACAGTGTCATTGTTTATTTTATAAAATGAACTTGTATTACATTACCATACTTATACCTCCCTTATTTCTCTTCTTTTGTAGTTATAAAAGAAATTCTAAGCAAGGCAAAATGTATATATTCATGACATTTTTCTTAACTCAAAATTATCTCTAAAAAATGATTTTCATAAAAAAAACTCTTTTTTAATTCTTTTTTATTTTAGGAAGATAAAAGGAAAATTAATATATGTAATATTCACAAGAAGCATTAAATATGTTGTAATATTTATATAATTGTTTATGTGAACTAGTAGTTTAATATTAAGGAAATATAATGCTTTGTAACTAAAAAAAAATCTGTGGTGCTGAGGCCTATATGCATGCATTGTACACATATAAATTAAAACAATATTTAATTAGGGTATTGAGTTTATGTATTGCTGATACAGGCTTCAAGCAAATTTGAAGACCTTTCTAAGCCTTAGGGTGTTCCATCTGTCCATATAATTGTGTTTCAAGCAAAGGAATTTTTACTTTATAGTACATGTTAATGTGTAATTGTTACATTATAGCAAGTACATGTGAATTACTTACATGTAAAAGCATTCTAAACTACCCCCCCTTTTTTTAAAAGGATTTATGTCAATAATCTCAATAAATAAATATCTCAATAATTGTCAGCTAAAAAAAGTATTATCTTTCATTTTTTATTCTTGGCTATTGCAATTCATGTACAGCAAATTTAAAAATTAAGCCTTTAATAAGATTCCTCTGATAAAAGTGCTTAGTTTTGCCTGGGGCCTGTTTAACAAAAAGGACTTACGACTTAAGGAGGCTGGAGGGTCAACAAATAAATCCCAAATTAACCAACAGATTTAATTCATTTTTTAAGATACGGTATCTTTAGCTGTGAACTATCATTTGACAAAGAAAAAATTCAAAGATTCTAGTTTTAAAATTTGATCAATTTCTATATCTTTATATAGAGCTCTCCTTTTAAAGGAGATTAAAATAGTCTAAAAATGGCTGCCTCCCCCGAGCCTCGTTAAGACCAAATTTAATTCTTCATACAATTTTTAATTAACATTACATCGTATATTATTTTAAACTTTTTAAAAGGAAAGTGGTAAGAAATTTTTACACAACCGTTTTCAAATAAAAATATTGATTTTGCAGAATTGTACAACAACCTGAAGTTTTTGGTCGTAAGTTCTTTTGTAAAACGGGCCCCAGGTTGAACCCTCTGATAAGAGAGATAACTTCTACTGGGGTAAATGACTACAGTCTGTCTGAATTTAGCCAGGAATATACAATATATGGATATGGAATCTAGCAGGAATTGGTAAAGTCATTGCGTCTATGAGGCAGAGACTGACTTTCGAGATTTTATGCCTCTTTTACTCACATTTTCTGATTGTGATATCTAAAATACTTTTATATCACTAAATGTTGGGATTTCTTAGTAGTACTAGTAACCGAAAGTCTCATGTTGAACTCACAAACATCTCCTCTTCTAAAGATATGAAATCCTAAAATTAAGATCCCATTGGAGAATGGTTGGATTTTCAGTCCCATCATCAATTACAGGGATAAATCCCACGAATATTGACAACCAGACATTTTCTCCTATACATTGTGAAACATGTCTCATAAATAATGACAATGACAAATCACTCATCATATATTTCTACGTTTAATTATTAAAGATGTACAATTTATTGGTGAAAATGATTCATTGTCAATATTCGTGGGATTTTTCCCATTTGAACAAGGAGAAAATATCGCATCTGACATTTTTTTCTCCCATGGGAGAAAGGTTGAATAGTTGATGGGACTGAAAATCCCATAATTCTCCCATGGGACTTTGAGTTTTGAAGGATTTCATATATTCAAAAAGAAAAGAGATGTTTGTGAGTTCAACACGAGACTCTGGAATCCCTGTACTGCTAAGAAATCCCACCAGAGTAAAATAAAAATATTTTGGATATCACAAAATAGAAATGGAAGTAAAGAATCTGGACAATGTCGAGTTTAATGACTAACTGTTTTTAGTAGAAGGGCGTCTTCCATGCGTCATTTCCAGGTGACAATTTTGCAAGTTCAGATTTTCTTGGCGTAAAATGACAGGAAAATTGAAACAAAAAGTCCCTGATCTGTCCAATTAAGTAATTAAGGGTCATTTCAGATAGGAGGTTGTATGAATTTTATCAAGAAGGAGTGAAAAATCAAATACAGATAAAATGTTAAACTGATCAACTGTTAAATAGTTTTTAAGATAATTATTTTTTTCCGATATTTCCCGATCATGACGAGGAGCACACGGCGGGTGTGACCGGATGCTCACTCCTCAATGGCATCTGATCCCACCTCTGATGTTTTGGAGGTCCGTGTTTGCTCTACTCCTATTTTGTATTGTTTTATGAACTTTTGATTTTGAATACTGCTCGTTATCTCCATGTTTCATTCTATACTATTTTTATTAGCTGTAAAATTCTGGTCATTATATACCCCGCTACGAGGGAGAGGGGGTATTCTGTTTTCCTTTGTGTGTTTAGCTGTCTTTACATGTATGTCTATGTGTCTGTCCATTGCAATTTTCGTCGCAATTTCATTTTCTCCGCAAGTGCTCATCGCAGATACATAATTTATGTAAATGAAAAGTTCTGCAATTTTAGCACACTCTATTAAGTTTGTGAAGGCCAGCCATATGGTGTGATTCATTTTTTGTACGAATCTGATTTCCTGTTTATCCGAGCATCTGTGCGTAACAAATTTCCTGTTTTCACATATCAGAGCGAGAATTTATTACTTATGAGCATCCGCTCACAGAATTCTTGTTATGTTTCCATACAGTTCAAAAGAATAAATTTACCGATTTAACACGGTCACTATATAAATCGATCATTTAAATTGTTTTTCTTGGTTTACTTCAATCACACAATTTTTACTTTAAAAATTCCAATCTCCCATGCAGAGTTGTCGTTCGTTCCTCTCTCCGACACCTCTGCAATGGGCTCACGTTCCTCTCTCCGACACCTCTGCAATGGGCTCACGTCAAGATTTTTGACATAACGTATAAAACGTGATATTTGCAGGATTATTTCAAATTAAATTAATAGTTCTGAATTTATTTAGTAAATATCTATCTCAAAACTCGGACATAAGGATAGAAATTGAATTATAATGAATTAAAATAAACGCACTATTTCTCGTGTTTATCACTGTGATATACGCGAGCCAATGACAGAGGTGAATGTATGAGCCGATGGTAGAGAGTGTAAAAATTCATGTCTAAAATTTAATTGTGTTCATTTTTTTTTATCATGTTATTTTTTATTCGAACGAATTTTAATTCGCGGCCATATGGAAGAATTAATAAAATCTCTCTCTCTCTCTCTCTCTCTCTCTCTCTCTCTCTCTCTCTCTCTCTCTCTCTCTCTCTCTCTCAATGAAGGTAAACAATGGTTAATAAGCCCCACAGAACTTCTAAGATATAAACTACTGTCTGTAGATCATTTCATGCATACTTGTGACGGGAAAAATATCAATGATACATTGAATGGAACTGGAAGTCTGGAATAACAAAAGGGGCGATTTGATCATACACCGCAAAATGCGGAAAAAATTATTCCGTACAAAAGAAATAGATATTTATAGTGCAAATTTGATTTCCTGTTAAAAAAATGAGTGCTGCTGCAAATCGAAGTAAAAGAGTGATTAAACCTCCTAGAAATATCAGTCCTGAAACAACCCCAACAAAGCGAAAGAAGGCATCTTCAGTGTCCAGTGAACATGCAGCAAAGGTATGGCTTTTGCTTTTTATCATGTACAGCATGGATCGGAGGCCTTTTTCGTCCAGTAACAACCAACATGCACTACAAAATGCAGTTACTTTTATACTGGTGTCTCATTATATCGCGGTACTTAAAACTTTTGCATAAAAAGTGTAATTCCAATTTTTTTCTTTAACTCTCATCAAATGATATTCATAAACCAAACTATGGCCTAACTTTTTAGTGTCAAATTATTTCCCAAGCTTGCATCGTTTAATTTGTAGTCTATTTTTAAAACAGGAAGTCTTGTCTACCTCCTAAATTGGAGAATCTCATAGTATCGCGGTATGGGAAAACATGGAAACTTGCGGTTGACAAGGACTTCAATTCTTATTTTTAATTTTACAATGTAATTCTACATAAAAGTAAACAAAAGTAGGCCAGGATAAATTAATCTTTAGATTCTCATCCCCGCCCGCCCCTCTCAAAGTTACCCGCCCCGGTGTTTTTTATTTTGATTTTTGGGAGTAAGTTTAAAGTATATTTTTATGTCTTTTTATTCAGTAAGAATTTGGATCAAAGTTTAAGAGTTATCTCCCGTTTGTATCAAAAGTCGTGTGTCACTATTTATAGCAAAAGAGCCATGTGAAGAATGGAGAAATATCGGCAATAAAAGCAGTTAAGATATGAAAGGGAAAGATAATGTGTCAGCATAGAGAAGGCAGAGAAGAAAAAATAGCATAAACACATCTTGATTTAAGCAAGTTTTTGAAGAGACTTTAAACTACTAGGTAAAAATTGATGAGGGAAATGCACCTGGTCAAGTTTTAATGATCTGCACTGTATGTGATTTTGTATAAAAGAAATATATAAATAAAATATCGTTGGCAGAATTTAGAGAATAATTAGTGTTAAGAAAATGTTAAATTTTAAAACTATTCAAGCCTAGGCTTTTCAGTAAAATATTTTATAGAGTTTGCAAATATGACCTACTTCAATGTCAAACATGTAGAATCCCAAGAACAATCAAATTTTGAGAAAGGTGGAAATCTGTGATATTTTACACAAATTTTTAAACAGAAGGATTTGTTGGCAAAACTAAAAATGTATTTGGGGGAAAGGCCTATGAGAAGTCACACAAATCTATTCATATAGGCATTAACATAAGGAAAAATTGTGTACGAAAAGTCCATCTAAATTTCTTGATATTTTCAATTATAAAAATTCGAAATAAAATCCGCCCACCCGCCCCAATTTTTTAGCAAATTATAAGGATGAGAATCTAAAGATTAATTTTATCTGACCTTATACAAATTAAAGACTTTCAAAACGTGAACTTTATTATGGATTTTACTAGATTATAAATTTAGTGGTCTAAATAAAATAAAAACGGGAATGGGAATCTGAAAAATTACGTTTTATTTGAATAAAAACTTTTCTGATGCATGTTCCATTCTTTTTATCATCACAAAAATTTACATTCAGAGGACTGACAGATAGTTTAAATTTATCCACAAAAATGCTATGGGCTTTGTATCTGATTTTTTGGAATATACCGCGATACAATGGAACCCATGATATAATGAGAATCGAGTATATATACATGATATAATATAAATTTCCAAATGTAAAATAGCCAACAATTGTACTTGTAAATCAAAAAGTTTGAAATATTTGTAATTGAAATAAACAGACGTCATATATATTGTAGAGCACTTTTACAATAATGTAGAACCATTTCTCTATTTGAATAAAGAATGGAAATAAAAGTCTTACATAATATAATAATATAGTTAAGTTCTAGCAATCTTATAAGGAGACATAATAAGTGCATAATTAATCTGTAGAAAACTCCAGAGGTACACACCCCTGTGAAGGTCGAGGTGAGGGAGGAAACAGTCGTTGTTGCCGTGGAGACAGAGGAAGTGATCATCGAGAGTCAAGATAAATTGTCTGCGGAGACTCAGGACAAGATACCAATCTTTAAAGACCCCACATTTGTTGTAAGTTTTCTTTTCTTTTTATTCTCCATGTAAATATTAGTAAGGTACATTATATACATCAGTTGAATGAAGGGCTGTTTTGGTATTAAATGCATTCATCATTAAAGCTTTGAGGTTTGAAGGATCCTATTTCCATTTCACAAGTGGATTTTTTTTTTTGCTTGAACCATTATATTAATTTTTGAAAGAAAAGCACAAACTTTACTAATAACACATTTAATTTTAATTTTATGTCTTCCATGATGATAAAGTGTGGAGGGGGGGGTCCTTGGAACACTCTTATCTTAATCTCTAAAAAAATTTAACATTTATTCCATTGTACAAGTTATTTTCTTATCACCCTCTAATTTATCACTGCAGTCAGATAATATATTACTGGACTAGCAGTTATTGTTTTGGGATGCTAAAAGCAGGGATCTATCTTTGAATGATGTCTTGTGAAAAATTATATAAAATAAAATCCATATTGGTTTTTTTTTTATTTTTTAATTTTTTTAAAAAATACTTTATTCAATGAAAACATGATAACAAGATAACTTTGGGGCAATGACATCCGCAGATGTCCCCCTATAATAACCCTCACTAGGGGTGTCAGGGGCTCCCTAGATTGGATAGCAAAATATATGTATTTGAAAAATGTAACAATATTTGAATCAAGAGAGTAAATGAAGTAATCAATTTGTATATTGACAAAGTATAGATATAGAGAGAAAATGATACCCTTATGTTGCTAGGGGAACACAAAACACTGTCCAACACATCCCTGAGCAACATGTATAGAGGGTTAGGTCACCCTCATATACCTCACATAAAGATTATATTATAACAATAATTACAAGTTTAATGCCAAAGATCTCAAAATGTGAAAATTGTATGAGATGCTTTGGGATCGTTTAGTCACAAGATAGAATTTCATGAGAGCATTTTTCAAAAAAATTAACATATCTTCACTGGTAATGTTATTTTTCATAATTCTACATTTCATTTTATATTCAAATATTTTACAAGCAATAAATGATAAGACATTATTCAAAACAAAAGTATTTTGGTTGATACCATGACTAAAACCAACAACAATATTTCTCCAACTAATATCTATACCTATGATTTCAGAGATTTTGTTCCATATTGATTTAACTTGAATGCAATCAAAGATCAGATGTTTAGAATTCTCTTCACTGGGACAAACTGGACAGTATTTATCAATATCTTTCAAGAATTTTTCTAATTTTTTCCTCATATACGAGGGGCTATCAAAAAGTTCGTGGACTAGCACCATAAAATTAAAACTGCTTTAGGTACATGAATGAATTTTAAAATATCTAATTATCATCATCTTTTCTATCAATAGAATAAATCACAAATCATAAATTTTATTTTTTAATAAAATAGTAATGTTTTTGTAAGCAATGGTATGTCCATGCGGCGCAACCTCGAAAATGACGTTTTTTTTCGACTTAAGTGTAACTAAGAAAAACTATTGTGATAAAAACATTTGACATCCAGAAATCCCGTTAATTCAGGGATGTGTTGGGACACTATTGTTCCATAAAATATTAATTTTTTACCTCATTTTGGAAGTTCTATGAAATTTTAATCGTAAATTTTACATGGAGTATCCGCACAAATGTTGCCTTGAAAATGACGTCAAAAGGGGGGAGGGGTTTCCTTTTTCAACATTCTATAAAGTTTTGCCCCTGGTAAAACTGGTATACACCTAGGAAATGTTTAAACTGGCTAAGGGGAAATAATATGCATCCAGATTACTTGTTTTTTAATGCCAAAATAGATTCAGAGAGAAAAGGAATGCACAGTTTATGTCGATTTGTCGTCAAGGTGTGAAAAATTAATCACGTCAAAAAATGACGTTGATCGTGTGTTGTAGATATTGAACTCCAAAAAGGCAAAATATGCTGGCACAATCAAGCGAGTATCTCTGCCATGGTATAAATTCATTTGCAGTAGTATATGTATTGAAAGCCGCTGTTCATGGTATTGTAAAGTCACATAAACAAGACGGATTGAATCCTAACTTACCTCCAGGGAATCTCATCAAAATAAGTGTATGAGGTAGAAGAAGCAGACATTGAGAAACAATGACGTTGTCGCACATCATAAAACTAAAAGGCGACGGCGCCGGGTGATGATATAATGTCGTTTTTATTTTATAATAATTTGGGTAATAATGAACGTATCAAGCTAAAATTTTCAACATTTCTTTATTTTTTGTTGTTTTGTGTTTCTTATAAAATTTGAAAGCGTATACTTCATAGTAATTATTTTATAGCCTCAGTCCACGAACTTTTTGATAACCCCTCGTACTTTTTGCCATTGATTTGAGCAGTTGATATCAAATTCTTTTGACCATATAGTTTCCATAATCGGCCTTTGAGACTTGTGTTGCAATAAAATTTTGTAGAAAAATTTTGATGTTTTGTCTTCAATGTTTTCTTTTTTATTGTGAAATTTAAAGGAAAATGAATTACATATGTATTGTTAATATTGATAAAAGGAATATTACTCGAATTTATACCTTTCCATTTACTAAAGACCATTTTGGGGTTAATAATAGCATATAAGTCCCTGCTAAAAGTAAACATTAATACAGTTATAAAAACAAAAGCATGATGTCAAGGCAAAGTTTAATAATGTATAGTTGAATAAGAACACAATTCAGATCTGCTGTATAATCATGTTTAACTATCAGTCTGATTTCATTTTTTTTAGCATTCAACCAAAGGAAATGCAGGGAGTAAGAAAACGAGAGTTTGGAAGAATCTGAAACAAATTGTAACAGCAGAGAAAATGTTACCATGGAAACCTGATGATGTTACATGTAAGACCAAATTATATGGGGTTTAAATTTACTTTAATGATGTCAGATGGAAGACAAAATTATACCAAGTCCAAGTTTAAATTAACATTCATGAAGAAACTCAGAAAACAAAATTACAAGGTGTTTTATTAAATCCATTTTCTACTTAGAGAAGTAATTCCATTTTGCTATTCAACTATGATCATTGATTATCGTGGTACAGTAAATAATGTAACCTTTAGATCAAATGACAGAAAGAAGTATTTTGTTGTTAATAGTCAGACTTGTATATAACTGAAGAATAAAAATGAGACATATTTAGTTTATTTCAATTTGGCTCAATAAAGTAAGCCATACCACATAAATAAATAGCCTATATGATGCTGGCACTATTTATTTTCTACAGATGGCTCCATTGATGCACCACCTTCCTTTAAACCTGCCAAAAAATATTCAGACATATCAGGACTCCCCGTAAGTGGCTCTTTAATATTGCTTAGTCTCAGATCTAGCTGCAGATCTGTAGCATTATGGTTTTATATATTTGTCTTTGACCATAACGCTACAGATCCCGTAATGCAAAAAAGGTGCAATTTACAGCGCAATATTTTTTGCGCACTTTTGGGGAGAATTTCTCCACTTTCTAGCATTGGTCAATCAACTACCTTTCACTCCCTAATTCTAGACACATTCTGTAGCCAATATGTATATTTTATCCACCTCCCAACCATTTGTAGTTGTCTCTACAGGCAGTAAACTCGCTTGAAGTGAATTTCCAGCAATCTAACAAATAATTTTAATCAAGTGAGTTTATCACTTGTGGAGACGTTTATAAAGAGTTTGGCGATGGATAAAATATACAGATAAGTTAAATAATGTGCCAAGAATTAGGGAGTGAAAGGTATGCTGGAAAGTGGAGAAATTCTCCCCAAAAGTGCGCAAAAAATGTGCCATAAATTGCACCTCTTTTGCATTACGGGATCTGTAGCGTTATGGTCAAAGACAAATATATAAAACCATAACACTACAGATCTGCAGCTATCTCGGATCATATAAGTTTCTTTACAATTGCTTTGTGCAAGGCTATTGAACAAATACCTTGAAAATATTGCCATGATGATGAAGAGAAAAGATTCAAGAAAAGAGGAGCACCATAGTTTTTTAAACATGATTTTAATTTGTTACACATATGTTAACAAAACTTTATTGGTTTAACTTAGAATATATATTATTGTTATTTAGGCTTACTATACAGATCCAGAGACAAAACTGCGGTATGCTACAGGAGAGGAATTTTCCCGGATTAGAATGATGACGAGTGACGTAGTCTCAGGGTGTTTGGCTTTACGTAGGGCCACCACTGTAGTCCCCTGAAAACCACTGTCTTACCCTGACAGTACCATTGTTGACCCTGAACACTACTGGAGTTTTCTGAATATACTGTACAACATTAGTCATACCATGAGGTTAAATTACAAAAAAAAGAGAGAAAAAACCAATCGGGAGATAAAAACAAATAGGTATACATGTAGATCAAATGAATGGGAAATACTTTCACTTCAGTGTAGAAAATCAATTAATAATACAGTATTAGAGGGAATGATTGAATGATAAAAGAACAGGTCTTGAATGAAGACATTTTGTTTACGTGTAGTAGATGAGAATGTGTCATTGTTATTGCGTGCTTGTAAACTAATCTTGTTGTGTAAACATGTGTTAGTGAAATCAACTCTTTTATAGTGTTTTAGTTTTTTATTCAGTGGTGTAATTTGTGTCATACACATGTGTTTGAGTATAGAATTCTTTTTTCAGTTGATATCTTCTATTATATTCTATAAATGAACATGTCTAAAAAGTTAACACAAGATTCATATTCAACCACTGCAAAATCTTTTACTATTTTAAGAATAAAAAGATATTTGACTTCTTAAAATTGTCAGCATGTCTTTATGTATCTTTGTGAATGCAAAGAAACCATATGAAGCAAGATGTATTTGTGAAACGCTATGCGCCTGGCAACAACAAAGTTTGAAAAAGCTATTTTTAGCATATAGGTTACAGTCAAGGTCACAAGGTCATTGTCCTTGGTGTCATTTGAAAGAGCTTAATTAGTGAAGCATGCATATCAAATATGAAGTATCTATTACCTACTGTTCAAAAGTTATGGCGAAGGTTAAAGTTGACAACAGACGGACATTACAAAAACAATACACATGTATACGCCCCTGATCTATCAATCAGACCTAGGGCGCTTAAAAATAAAGATAAACCAATTTGGCATAGAGTTAAATTGATAATTACTGTAGAAGTATTTTTTTCCGCGTGGTATTAATTTACACTATGTACGCAGTCACAAATTTTCCGCGGAAATTTGTCAAAGCGTACTCAATATAAATGTAAGGCATACAATGACTGTCTAAGAAATCCACGTAATTTTCTACACGCGGATTCAACAGAAATTGAGATTAAGCGGAATTATGACCCCGTGAAAAAAAGTACGTCTACAGTAGTACTGTCATATAGACTGTGTCATACTTGCCAACACCAGTGAAGTTCCAAAGAACGAGGGCGCTTTTGATTGGCATTTGGCAGGAATCTGGGCATAATTGAAAAGTGAAAATTTTATCAACATGTCACATTAAATATTAACATTTTTTTATTTATTGGCTTCCTGTGCAACAGGAAAGAAAAATATTTTCCCGAAATTGAGCTTTGATTTGCTAAAAAATAACTTGAAAATTGGCCAGATCAGACATTTGGTACAAAATGGTACATTTTTAAACACATTTTTCTAAAATTTTTCTATCTCTGGGTCTTCTCTCCATGATTTGGAAACGTTATTTGTATATATTTTAAATCAAAGAAATGAATACACTTTTTTAAAAAATGGAGAGAAGACCCAGAGACCACGAAAAACGAACTTTTCCCCAAAAAATCTAAATGTGTGAATGCTTCTTCATCCTTTTGAAATCATCTTTATATATGTAGCGGTGATAGTTCAGTAAGTTGGGCTACCTGTTCAGTGCACTGGAATTGAAAAGTTTTTGGTTCGAGCCTGGGATGGGGCGTAAATTATTTTTTTTTCATGCAAACAACCATTTATCTGTAAGTTTTGTTTTATGTACTGATATATTAAAATTTTAAGTTAGATTAATTTTGGTTCAGTTTGGTTCTCGAGCAAAATCAATTCTAATCTTCTATTCTATATAATGTACATGTACACGTATCATGCATCTATATGCATTAGATATTTTAGGTGTTTATTTTTAGCTCACCTGAGCCAAAGGCTCAAGTGAGCTTTTCTGATCACATTTTGTCCGGCATCCGTCTGTCTGTCCGTCTGTCTGTAAACTTTTCACATTTTCGACTTCTTCTCAAGAACTGCTGGGCCAATTTCAACCAAACTTGCCACAAAGTATCCTTGGGTAAAGGGGAAATGAAGGGTCACGCTCTCATTCAAGGGGAGATAATTGGGAATTAATGAAAATTTGGTGGCATGTTTTAAAAATCTTCCTCTCAAGAACCACTGTGCCAGGAAAGATGAAACTTATGGGGAAACATCCTCAGGTAGTGTAGATTCAAGTTTATTCAAATCATGACCCCCGGGGGTAGGGCGGGGCCAAATTGGCCGACCAAAGTTTTACATAGAAATATATAGGAAATTTCTTTAAAAATCTTCTCCTCAAGAACAACAAAGCCATAATTGATCATATTTATATGGAAGCATCCTCAGGTAGTGTAGATTCAAGTTTGTTCAAATCATGACCCCCAGGGGTAGGGCGAGGCCAAAATGGTCGACCAAAGTTAAATAGAAATATATAGGAAAATTCTTTAAAAATCTTCTTCTCAAGAATAGCAAAGCCATAATTGATCATATTTTTATGGAAGCATCCTCAGGTAGTGTAGATTCAAGTTTGTTCAAATCATAACCCCCAGGGGTAGGGCGGGGCCAAAATGACTGATTAAAGTTTTACATAGAAATGTATAGGAAATTTCTTTAAAAATCTTCTCCTCAAGAATAACAAAGCCATACTTACCAATTCTTATATGGAAGCATCCTCAGGTAGTGTAGATTCAAGTTTGTTCAAATCATGACCCCCAGGGGTAGGGCGGGGCCAAAATGGCCGACCAAAGTTTTACATAGAAATATATAGGAAAATTCTTTAAAAATCTTCTTCTCAAGAATAGCAAAGCCATAATTGATCATATTTATATGGAATCATCCTCAGGTAGTGTAGATTCAAGTTTGTTCAAATCATGACCCCCAGGGGTAGGGCGGGGCCAAAATGGCCGACCAAATTTTTACATAGAAATGTATAGGAAAATTCTTTAAAAATCTTCCTCTCAAGAATAGCAAAGGCATAATTGATCATATTTATATGGAAGCATCCTCAGGTAGTGTAGATTCAAGTTTGTTCAAATCATGACCCCCGGGGGTAGGGCGGGGCCAAAATGGCCGACCAAAGTTTTACATAGAAATATATATATAGGAAAATTCTTTAAAAATCTTCTTCTCAAGAATAGCAAAGTCCTAATACGCAAGTTTCGAGATTATCTCCCTTGGTGCGCTCTTTCGTTGAGGAGGGGAGTTTCGATGCCGCGTAAACAAAAAGGTGGGACATATATTTGATACTGTGTATGTTGGATACATTGCATCATTGATATACCGGTTTATCATTACTACACAATTGTCAGGATGCACTCTACAACTTGAGAATAACCTAATTAAAGTAAAGGCATCATTTTTGAAGCAAAAAAATCGAAACAAAAAAGAAAATATCAGTGGATGTGAGACTTTTCGGACGAGGGAAGAGATATGGACCTCTGATAAATACGGTGCACATGCATCTGATTACGTCGGGAATCTTAATGACATATTGATTCTTTTCCTTATTATGACTTTAAAAACACTAACTTTTTAGAAAATGTTCATACAATCAAGAAATTCGGTTACTTTTTATAAAAACTACGACGTTTCTTTCGTTTTCAAGTACCCGAAAATTAATAGTAGATTTGTAAATATGCATAGTTGAGCTTGATAAATCATCAAATGCATCACTGCTGAACATTATTATCTTTCTATAACATTTAGTAAATTTTAAGAACCATAAATATCGTTCTTTTATTTATGCATGTTTGTATACAGAGACAACCTGTCCCACCTCAATGCTGAAATGGGTACTTTTTGCGCCTCTATCGTAGGAGAGTTACAATCTCGAAACTGGCGTATTGATCATATTTATATGGAAGCATCCTCAGGTAGTGTAGATTCAAGTTTGTTCAAATCATGACCCCCAGGGGTAGGGCGGGGCCAAAATGGCCGACCAAAGTTTTACATAGAAATGTATAGGAAAATTCTTTAAAAATCTTCTTCTCAAGAATAGCAAAGCCATGATTGGTCTTGGGACTACTTTTGGATTTAAGCTTTTCAAGTGTAAACCAATTCTGCTTTTTCCTAGCCACAGTGCTCAGGTGAGCGATGTGGCCCATGGGCCTCTTGTTTATGAAACATTACTATGTTATAGTACTGCCTAGGAAAAACGGACAAAAATGTTACAATCTCACACTTCCAAACTAATTGAAAAAAGGCTATGATTGATTGATTGATTGTATACTGTTTAACGTCCCTCTCTAGAATATGTTTGTAAACTCTGACAAATAAGCTATGTTCAGCCAACCAAATCATGGACATTTAAACCATAAATGTTTCGTACAAATGATTCCTGCAGATCACATGCCAAATGCGCCCATCTTCTTTTCAGTATTACCAATTTTGCTTTGATTTAGTCAGCAAAAAGTTTACAGTGGTGTATCGGTATACACAGTATTTAAAAAAGAACTATATGCGGTATACTGCATATCTTTGCCCCCACAAATGTCAAATTTTGAAAAATTCTTGAAATGTGCTGAATTCTATGAATTGTATAAGAAATATAAATTTACAGAACATATTATAGTTTCAAAGTAGTTTATTGAAGATTTTTGTTTTTATTACGTCACAAAGTATTCCGATTTTGTATTATTTTTTAGAAAGAGGACAAAATGGACAAAATTTCAAAAATTTTAGCTTTAGAATTTATAGAGCGCAAGTTTGCTCAGGAACAATATTTATATATTTCATTGATATTATCATTCTACACATTATATCAAATTATTGAGCCTGATCAGACCTGCGCTCGGTGATTTTACTCAAAATATCGACGTAATATATACCTTTTTCTGAAGAAGTCATGGACATTTTTAATTTACGTCATTTTCGTGGTGCCATTTCAACATATGACGTCATTGCTTATGAAAATATTCAGTGCTTTGAAGTCAGCATATATATATATATATCAACCTGTTCAAGAACATAATTAAATTTTTCTCCGTCAAAGATTGATTTTGGGGGCAAATATTGGTTATTAACCGAATAAAGTTCTTTCTCAAGATCTAATGCAGAAAGCATGTTACTTTTGGTGTAATTCTTCTGCTTTTTTCCACAAAGTTATGATCTATTACGCCAATTTAATGAATTTACGCTTTTAATTTATGGTCTAAATTCATTCTATACGATGTTGTATGTATTATACCTAGTAGTTTCAATGTGGCATATAAACTTTAAATGGACAGTTTCAACTGAATTTTTAAAACCAATTTTGATGTTTACAATTCCTAACTAAGACATCATCTAATGATCAGCAAAAATTTGAACATCATTTGTTGATTAACATACGAGTTACAGAACTTTAAGTTCTTCATAATATAAACAAGACTTGTGCCTTTTTGTTTACATATTAGATAATTTCATATTTATAACAGAATGAAATTCAACAAATCACTGTATACTAGTACTATTTAATCGTATTTCGTACTCCTTTATTGAAATCATCTGCTTCGAACGAACATATATTTGTATATTAACCTATGTAA